CAAACAGTGCAGGGATGAGCCCATGGCCAGGGAGGAAGCAGCCCAGAGTGACCTCAGAGCCAGGCCTTCAGGAAAGGAAACTGCCCATCCCAGGGCCCTTGACTTGAGTGTTAGAGCTACAGGGACATCTCCAGTCACCAGGTCAACATCTTCGTGCAGCTGGGCAGGAAGCAGGTTGAGCTGACTGACAGGACTTGCCAAGAGGCCCTTGGAGAATGAGGCACAGTCAGAAGCAGCTTCTCGCCCTCCAGCCACCTTCCCACGTAGTCCTCCCTCCTCCCTCTCCGCCATGCCCGTGCTGCTGCTGCACTGTGCTAACAGCTCGATTCCTCCCCTCGTTGTGAGCACGTCCTGGGAGGGCCCTGCCATCCTGGGCATCTCAGTCCACATCGGCACCAGCCACCCTGACTGCCGCAGGCGGATATGGCTGCCAGGCATGCACACTTGTACCCAAACTTCAGGGTCACCACCGCAAGTGCCTGGACCTGCCCTGAGTCTGAATTGTGGGCTTGGGGTGGGGCCCAGGCGCTGGTGTTTCCAAAAAGGGGCCATGCTGGTGACTTGGAGGCATGTAGCACTGATCATACTCTGAGAAACACCACCTTAGCATCACCTCCCACAGAGGGCCACCTGGGAAGAGGTGATGAGGGACAGAAACCCAACTCAAATGGAAACAGTTCACTGATTCCAAGGCTCAAAGGACAGAGGGGAGTGAGGATGTCACTGGGTCTTGGGACAGTAGGAGCTGAGGTCTGGAATGAGTTCTCTTGTCTCACATGGCTAATTTCTCCATCCAGCTGGAACATCTTCCACCAGGGGCTGACTTGCTCTCCCAAAATAAGAGACCCTGGGAGAGGGCTGATTGGATCAGGTGCTTCTCCCTGAACCAATGAACTATGGTTAGGTGACCAGGGCCTACCTGGGCCCCAATAGCCCAGCCCTGGGCCAGAACCACTCAGGGTCTGAGGAGAGAAATGTGGTAAAGAGGGGAAGACCACCCACATTTGTGGTTCCAGTCTATGGAGGCTTTTCCCAACCTGTGGGTCTTGGGGCGGGAGACCTGGTGTGGTAACTGCCTGCAAGATGGCACCATGATTCTTGACTCTCATATGTCCCCGTGTAGTCCCTTCCACACTGAACAGGGCTGATCTGTGTAACCAAGAAGATATTGACAACATATGGAGTCTTTCCAAGGCTAGGCCTTAAACACTGAGCTTCTTGCTCACACAGGCTCACTGGCTGTAGGGGAAGCCAGCTGCCATGATGTGAGGACATGCAGCTGTGGGGAGCAGGGCAGGCACAGGGGTGAGAGAGGCACTTATTTCAGGTACAATGTTTAAAGGGTGCTAACGATGTCCGTAATCAAGGTAGATCTTCTAATGCAGTATTTTAGAAAATAAAAACCCATGCAAAAAACAAAATCGATGATGAACAAAATAACCAATTTTTAAATACAGTCTCAGGAATAGTACCAAACTAAACCGTACTGGAGCCTGACGCTAAGAAAAAAATGAGCCATACTGGTCTGACTGACACATACTCAGTCCCTGGCAGGAGACCCTGCAGGGAGAATGTCTGTGTGTGGTCCTCCATCCCCAGGTAGAAGGGCAGCCAAGCAGCGCCTTCCCCTCTGTGGGGAGGAGGGTAGCTGAGCCCAGGGGGCTGTGGCCCACCCTCCAGCAGTGCCGGGTCTACAAGCTGACAGTAACGCATAACCACCACCATGCGTGCGGGTGCTCTCCATGTACCTGGCCCTCGGCCACACACTTCTGTGGTACCTTCATCCCTTAGAACAGCTTCTGAGGTAGGTTCAGTCATTACCATTTTACAAATGAGGACACGGACATACAGAGGGTACCTGCCCACGTTTACAGTGAATGGAGAGGTGGGATCTGGCCTCATGCTATCCGACTCCAGAAACAACAATCTTAATTATGTTTGGGGAAATGGAGTCAGACAGCCCTGAATTTGAACCTCAGCTTAGCCAAGTATCTGCCATCTACCAGTAAATTACATGGCTCCTTAAGGGTCAGAGTTCACCTCTGTGAAATGGGGTAGTAAAGGACAGCTTGTTTATAGTGCCTTAAGTCAGCACAGTGGTCGGTATGAAGAAACACTCAGCATTAGCCCTGATGACTTTTCTGCCAGATGGAAGCAAGCTGTTGGCAGTTCCCACTCACAGACCGGACAGGGGGGCTGCCTGGTGATCCTGGGGGAGGCGGAGAGGTTCTTGCATGCCCCCAGCTGGTGTTGTGCACGTCCCACCTGCCCTTCGCTCGTTCATCCCTATCCCCACTTGTGGCCTCTGGAATCAGCCCCAGTGGCTCCCTGGCTGTGGGCCATGGAGAGGGCCAGAGTGTCCGCACTCATGTGTGGCTGCTCAGGAAGGCCCCATGGTCAGGCTGGAGCAGGCCCCATTCTCCATATGGCAACAAGAACCTTCAAAACCTACACCAGACCATGACAGCCCTCAGTGTAAGCTCCCTTTCCCCCTTTCTCTGATCTCATGCCCCTTCCTCTCCTCACCCCCCACCCTGGCTACACTGGCCATCCTTCTCCCTATACATGCTGTGCCCACTGTGGACCTTTGTACCTGCTGCTCCCTCTGCCCTGGAGGGCTCCGCCCAGGGGTCTGCACAGGGCCAACTTACCATTCAGACCTCAGATGACACCCCTCAATGAGGCCTCTCTGCACTTCTGAGGACACCAGTGGCCAGTGCAGATTCACACCACCATCTTTTGCTTTTTGCACTGCTCTTTCATCACCTGACTATTTTTCTCTTGTTGACACCTGTCCCCTTGTTCCCATCATCTCTGCCCAAGAGCAGGCCAGCTCCCTGGCAGAAGGGCCCTTGCCGGGTTCGTGCCAGGGAGCACCAGTGTCTGCACAGGTGAGCAGCTGCCCAATGAGCTGTCACTGAATGCTGGAGGGCCCCCGGTCCCAAGTGCATCCTAGCTTTGCACTGGGGAAGCCTGGAGACATCCCTGCCCTTAAGATAGCACCTTGGAACAAGTGTCGCCCTGGTAATGGCTCTCTGGGCACACGCTGCCCACCTCCCTCTGTGCCCCCCCATCCTGCCTCAGAGTTGGCCTTTCTCCAGCACCCTCTCTGCTCCCCTGCAGTCTGCCATATATTCCGCTCCAGGGGAGATATTCCTCCTTTTAGGGGAACCACCCATTCCCTACTCCAGTTTGGAGCTGGGCTGGCAGCGCTGACAGGAGTTGGTGGGCACTGGAGGGGCACTGGGTCCTCCAGAGCACAGAGCAGCGAGCACTAACTGCTCTGGTCACAGAATCCTTTGGGAACAGAAGCAAGTTCAGAAAAAGGCCTGTATCTCAGTCTTGCACAGGTTTCCAGGGGGCCTGTGTCACACAGCCTGTCCACGGGGTCCACGGTCCAAATGAGGAGCCTCCCGCCCCAGGTCCTCTAAGCTGCCAACACTGTCCACTACTTACAGGTTGCCAAAGGCAATTTACACACAAGAGCTCCTTAAACCAGCTAAGGAAGCCATGCAGGAGCTCCTACTCCTGGATTACAGAGGAAGTGCACGAAACAGACTGCCTCCTAGGGCACAGGGCGGGAGGAGGGCTGCGGCCAGAATCCGAGGAACACGGGCCTTTCGGAGACAGAGGCGGAGCACAGGAGAGGTGGAAGAGCGCCCAGAGATGGCGGGAACCAGGCTCCCTGCAGCAGGAGGAGCTCGCACTGCCAGGAGGAAGTGCGCAACGGGGCCGGACATCGCAAGGCAGCCCAGACACAAAGGTGTCAACAGCCTTTACCACAAAGATTATTGGTGGCCTCTTGGGGCAGAAGCCAGCTTAATGAGACAGTACAGACAAGAAGCTTAGGACTTCCTCCTGAGAAGCTGGCATGTGTAAGGGAGAGGAGATGGTGCAAAAGTCAATGGGGGCCGGGCTTGGATGAAACTCATGCATGCTGACAGCGGCCAGGCAGGAAGAGGCCCTCATGGTGCAGAGGCCTCAGGGACACAGGGTGGGATGGGATGGTCAAGCCAGGATGAGGATGCAGGGCAACCTCACTTGGATGGTGGCTGCCGGGCCTGTAATGGCTGCTGTAGGGGATCAAGGTTGTGCAAGGTTTCAGAAGTCCTGTGGCCCTGGGGCCACATGACCTGCAATAACCTGGGCAGGGAGCCCCTCTCCAGCAAGTGTAGGCCCAACATACAAACAGGCTCAAGGGGCTGGTTCTCTTACTGCAAAACCCCTCACGGAGCCGTGGGCCTGCCCCTTTGATAGGGTGGGTGCCTGAGTGATGGTCTTAACACATGGGTCACAGACTCGAACTGTTCCAAAAAGCAGCAAAATTCTCAAGAGGGGGGTCACTGGCCTCTCTTTGCAGGTAAACACAGTACAAGCCCCACATGGCGACACCAGGGAGTTGTTTCCACAGAAGGGGACTGGGGAGCTGCAAGGCTCCTTTGGGTTTTCCTGCCAGTGCACGCTGAGGTGGGCACAGCATTTCCTAGTTTTTAAAGCTTACTGTCAGAAGGGAGTTAACTAGGCATCTGCGGACTCAGCCTTGGCTCTGCGGCTTTGAGCTTGACAAGTTCCAGAGGGCCTTGCAACAGCCTCAGGGGCCCAGCCTGACCCCAAACCCAGAGAGACCACCCACTGAATGTCACTGGAAAGGCGGCTATTCCCCATCTGGGGATGGCAGCAAGTCTGGGGCTTTCTTTGGTCACCCTTTTAATTTTAGTCTCCAGAATTTGGGGCTGACTCTGTCAGCGGAAGAAGGAATGGTGAGTATGAGAACTGCCTGGACCTGGGGGAGATCATCCTGAGGATGGGATCAGCAGCTGACAGGTGAGGACCTGGTAATTGGAAGCTCCTCACCCCCTCCCATCCTTGGGACCTCTCCAAGGACACAGTTTAAGGCAGTGATGTGGTGCTGAGCCCATGTTGGCAGGGTACAAGGCAGAATCCCATAAGAGACAAGCTTGTATGTGCTTCCCTGCTTATCACACCTGCCATTCACCCACCTGGAGCGGCTGCCTCTCCTTGGTGTCTCCCTGCCTTCCACACACAGGGGCTGGTTTCAGTCACACTGGGGAAGCTTCCAGGGTTGCCACCAACAGCTAGGAGAGAAATTCTGTCACAACCTAGAGATGAGTTCATTTGGGCCAGTGTCCTCCGGTCACACGTGAGAGGGTGAGTCCTGCTGGAGGAGGCAAGCATCTGGCCACACCCACAGCTGGTGGCAGGCTGTGCCCGTCTGTCCTAGGATGTCAGGGAGGCTGAGGAAGGCAGCCTTTCAGACACTGGCAACTAGTATGGGAAGTCAGAAAGCACTGGAGACTATGGGACACCCATTTTTAGGAGAGAAAAAACACAAATCTTCATTGTCTTACATAATCTTATGTATCCTCGATGTTTTGTTGTGTAATATAAAGATTTTCCTATGACTCTACAGAGGTAATTTATCCCTAAGGCAGAAAGTATTCATAGGATGTTAATAAATGGAACACAAAGGCAGAGTTTGCCACAGGATCTTTAATCCTTTAAGGGAACTGATTATACTCAAGAGCTAAATTAATCTGTTCCAGGAAGATTCTGTACCACTATCCCAGCTGGCTTACTGTGAAAGGTTTCTGGGGACAGGTATCTGCCGCCAGAGACAATTAACTGAGGCTTCAGGCTATTGCTGGTTCCTTATTATGAAACAGCTGAGCTCTGGAAAGTATCTGACAATCACTGCGGGCAATATTACAGGCCCCAAGCCCTCAGTCTCTCCACAAGTTGCTGAGAAAAGGACCTTTTAAAAAAACAGACAGAAGCCCCTAGAAGAGTCATCAGAGGTCTGACAGCACTTCCTGAATGCACACTTCAAAGTACCATCACCAGCTGGCTGGCAAGTCTTTGTCCACAGCAGACCTGGACTCTGAAGCTAGTTCTCAATGTAATGCTGAAGCCCAGGGGGCAGACAGGAAAGGAATTTTCCATTCTGTCCTCTAGTACCTCTGCACTTAGGTTGTTGAGGTTTAGCAAGCCTGCCCGTGCCCCTGGCTAAACAAGCAACGGCCTTCAAAAAAATCAATCTGCCCAACACAGAGAATGAGAGAAGATATTTGCCAATCATGTATGGTAAGGAATTTATATCCAGAATATATAAAGAACTTCTTCACCTCAACAAAAACAACCCAGTTAAAAAATGGGCAAAGGACTCAAACAGACATTTCTGTGAAGGCGGCACACGAACAGCTAATGGGTACGTGAAAAGATGTTCAACATCACTAGCCATTGGGAAGCACAAATCAAAACCACAGCAAAATACCACCCACTAGAGTAGCTTTTTCATTTATATATAAAGCAAGTGTTGAAGAAAATCTGAAATCCTATTCATTGCTGGTGGGAATGCAGCCACTGTGGAAAACAGTATAGCAATTCCTCAAAAAATTAAAACTAGAACTATCACATGACCCAGCAATCCCACTTGTGGGTATATTATATATACCACAAAAGATTTGATAGGTAGGGTCTCAAAGAGACAGGAGCACACCCGTGGTCACGGCAGCATTATTCATGATAGCAAACAGGTAGAAACAACTTAAACAGCCATCAATGGAATACTATTTAGCCCTTAAAAAGGTAGGGACTTCTGACACATGCTACAGTATGGGTGAACCTTGAAGACACTGTACTCAGTGAAATAGGGCAGAAACAAAAAGGATGTACACTGCATAATTCCACCTATATGACAAAGTGCTGGTGAGGGAACGAAGCAACTAGAACTCACACAGTGTTAGTGGGAATACAGAAATGGCACAGCTACTTTGAAAAAGTTTGGTAGTTTAAGAAAAATTAAACATATACTTACCATACGACTTAGTCAATAAGCCCATTTCTAGGTATTAACCCATGAGGATGAGAATTTAAGTCCACACAGATACCTGTACACAAATGTTTACAGCAGCTTTAATCCTAATTACTCCCAACTGGAAAAACCCACATACCACCAACAGGTAAATGGATAAACAAAGTAGGCTACATCCATACAAGGGGATGTTTCTCAGCAATGACAGACTCCTGACACGTCAGCATGGGTGACTCCCAAAAGCATTATGCTAAGTGAAAAGAGCCAGACACCAAAAGCTGCCTGTATATGATGACATTCACATGACCTTCTAGAAGAGGCAAATCTACATAGTCAGGAATCAGATCAGTGGCTGCCAGGAGGCAGGGACAGGGGACTGACTCTAAAGGGACAAGGCAAAAAAAACTGGCACCATGATACTTAAAATCACAACTCAGAGGGTACATTTTACTATTATGTAATTTATACCTCAATATAAGCCTCAATATAAACCTGATATTAAAAAAAATGTAATAGCAACAAAATCACAGATTTAAAGATCTACTTATAAAACAAAACTACACAGATACATATGCAAAATGGTAGACCCCTACCTCACTACATATGCAAAAACTAACTCAAAATAGACTAATGACCTAAATATAAGACCTAAAATTATAAACCTACTAGAAGCAAATAATACATAGGTAAATTTTCATGATTTGGATTTGGCAGTGGATTCTTAGATTTGACAGCAAAAGAAAAAAATAAGATAAACTGGACTTGAGAAACATTAAAACTTTTGTGCATCAAAGGACATCATCAAGAATGTAAAAAAGCAGCTTATAAAATGGGAGAAGATACCCACAAATCACGTATCTAATAAGGGTTTACAGACGCTAACACTTGGATGAACCTTGGGAACATTAAAGACACACACACAAACGTCACGTACTGTGCGATTCCTTACACAACATATCCACACAGACAGAACAGGCTAGTGGTTGCCAAGAAGTGGGCAGAGAATGGGAAGTAACTTTTTAAATGGGTCTGGATGTTCTTCTGGAATAATGAAAAAGTTTTAAGAGAGGTGATGGTCACACCACACTGTGAAGGTACTAAATGCTACTGCATTGTTCACTTTAAAATGGTCAGTTGCTTGCTATGACTTTCACCTAATACAAAGAGAGAAAAAAAAACAAATGAAGAAGCTCTTATGTATTGACATAGGAAGATTGCCAAAATAAAACTAAGTGAAAAAAGTTGTGGAGTACATTGGGTAGAGAAGAATTTAGAAATATGTACTTATTTTACTTGATGTGTAAAACACATGAAACTGGTAATACTGGTTGCCTCCACGGATCAAAGTTTGAGTCCTCAGGTGACTTGGGGACAGGGTAGTAAGCTCTTTTTTTACAGAAGCCTTAGTATCTTTGAATTTTGAACCATGTAAATGTATTAATATTCAAAAAACTAAAAGGGAAAAATAAAGTTTGTAAGGAAAAGCAACCAAAACTAGCCAAAATATACAAAGGATAATTAATCTATGAATGGTCTGGAATAATTTTAGTTATCCCTACAGAAAAATAAAGTAATAAGAAACCCCTATCTCACACCCAAAATAAATTTCAGGGGTACCTGAGACCTAAATGCAGAGCACATTTTAAAATACAGAAGACCACGTTTCTATCCTCGGGGTTGAGGAAAACTTCTTAAAAAGGTAGGGAAGACACAAAACATGAAAGCTTAATTTAAAATAAAAGTAAAAACTTCTAAATAAAAGACATTATAAACAAAGTAAAAAGACAATCCAAAGTGTGGTGCCCAGTTATCTGTGATGCATGTGGATCAAAAAATTATAGTACCCAGACCACTTATTCTTACAAACCAAGAAAAAGCCCAGCATATTAATGGACAAAGGATATAAACATGCAATTCACATAAGGCCAGTAACATGAAAAGATGCTTATCCTCACTGGTTATTAAGGAAATGCAAATTAAGCCACAGATGAGACTGTTAAACACTCACTGAACCGGTAAAAAATAACAAAATCTGTCAAAAAATGTGCAACACAGAAACTCAAATATTGTTTTTCACAGTTTTAATGGGTACAGTTTTGAATTATCTAGAATACCTGAAGAAATACAGTCTATGACTTCTCTTTCTTTGTATATACACTACAGAAACTCTTACTGTGGGCTTAAGGAGACACATACAAGGATGTTTGTAATCGTGGAAACCTTGGAAAAACCCTAAATGTCCAAAAGCAGAATGACTACATGGTGATAGTGTCTACATGATGGATTACTGAGAGTAGAGCTTTATGCAGCTCATCACTAAAAATAATGTACATCAGAAAAAACTGTTGAGTGATATTTTATAAAAATTCAAACATTCTGCAAAAACCTGTATTATCTCCTTTTTCGGAAAATAACTTTTAATAATGTATATATTTATATGAATGATAAACATCAAAGTCAGAATGATTATCCTTGGCAGAAGAAAGAAGAATTGTAATTAGGAAAAGCACACAGGGCTCAAACTCTTCCATTAATGTTTTATTACTTAGATAAGACCTACAGCAAATAAGGCAAAACAGCAAACGTGGCCAGTGTGGGTGGCTGGTGGTGGGTAATAAACACTCACACTGTGCTCCACACTTTTCTGTGGGCTGATTGTAACTGAAAGTCAGGAAAAAAAAAACAGAAGGAAAGTTCCCAAATGATGACTATTCCTAGGGTAGGCGTATAATTTTTGTTCTACTCTTTTTACCCATTTTTATGGTCTAAATTTTTTTTTACAATAAGTGGGTATGGCTTTTATAATGAAAAAAAATTCAATATAAGTTCTATATTTTAAAACATACAACTGGTTACTGCAGTCTTACTGTCCACTAGAACCCAATTCCTTTTCATAATAAACACCCCTCTCCAAGTTTGGCCGGGCACATGACTGCCCAGCAAGATATGGCAGCTGAAAGGTGCATGTAACTAAGGATTTGTTGATGAAAAAGGCACAGAAATAAGGGACTTCCCCATAAAACTGTATATATTCCCTCTCCTCCCACCCTGGTTGAACAGGGAATGTGATCCTGGCAAGCCTGCTTCTAGCCATGCATATACAAGCAATACCACCCCTTGGAATGGCACAGCAACAAAATTAAAGAAATTGGAGGCTCTCAATCACATCACAAATTAGTGGAGACCACCTGCCTTGCACCACTTGCCTCTTCTGACCTGTAAGATCAACCTCTTATCTGAGGTACTTTACTTGTGAGTCTCTGTTGTCCCAGGTTAGCTACTGTCCTAACTAATGATGGCAAGGAAGACCACTTACGGGGTGCACATTCCAACTCTTCTACTGAAGATAACCATTTAAGAACAAAGAACTATCTATCTTTTAAAATGCAATTTAAGTTCACATTGAACTGGCCACATCTCCAGTAAGATTTTTCATGAAGTAGAACAAGCTAATGATTAAATTCATAAGGAAGAAAGGTATAAATATAGCCAAGAAAAAGTATTAAAAGAACAGGGGAGATTTGCCTTGTATCAAAACTTATTTTAAAACTATAGTTAACTTATAGTATTAGCATATAAATGGTCAGATAAATAGAAGAGAGTCCAGAAACAGACTCATATGTATGGAAATATACAAAAGCCATAAAGGAAAAAAATTGAATAAAACTGACAACACAGCTTATAATGTCTATGATCATGTACACACACACAAAACACCATCAACAAAATTAACAGATTAGCAATAAGAAGAAAATACCTATATATAATGTATAAGTAGTACACAAACTATATTTTTAAATGCTAGTAAAACATAAAAAATTACCTAATTGAAAAATGGTTAAAAGACACAAACAGGCAATTTATAGGAGAGGAAATACAGATGACCAATACAAATAGATGCTTAACTTACTAGTTATTAGGGAAACACACATTAAAATGAAATTTTATTTTTCACCCACCAGACTTACAAAACTTAAGTCTGATAATATCAAGTGTTTCAGAGGAAAGAACACATGAAAAACTCTCTATAACACAATGTGAAATCTTAAAAATTGCAAAATGAAGACCTTATGAAAAACATGTTTACATTTCTGTATTTTGCCACACCAAAAAGAAAAAGTTTTATTGCCTTCAACTGGAGATATTTCAATGAATCACCTTGGAAAGGGTAAAAAATGTTTTAATTGTATAGGTGTGCTATTAAAGAAAGATTAAAGAAAGTCAGCATTTGTAATCGAATTTGTACTTGCAAGTCACCAGTTCCTCATGGGGATGAACTGAGCAATCACACATAAGCTTTCATTGCAGCTACAAGAAATGAGTTAGTTCCAGTTTATATTCTTCCTGCATGTTTGACAGCCTGAGGCCAAATGCCAATGTCACTTCTGGAGAAGTCAACCACTGCGTTTCCTGGTATTGAATTAAGTACCCCAATCAAATCGCAACTTGTAAGTGGCATGTCGACTAATAAAAACAGAGCTAATATTTCATCTTTCATTACAAAATAAATCCAGCAGAATAAGCACTTGAAATAGTGACAGTATAATAATTAATTCAAATTAACAATGTTGAAAAGGACAGTAATAAACTTGGTCTTAAATAGCTTTCTATAAGAAAGTTGAAGAATTCTAGGCAAATAAATGTGAGAAAAGTCTAATGTTGATTTGAACACATTTTGAAAAGTTAGTGAATAGAAATTCATTAGGACTTGTTTTACCCCAGGAAGACAAACATGCACATATTTTTATTTTATTTTTATTTTTTTGACTTTGGTGATGAATTTATTTTATTTTATTTTATTTTTTTATTTTTTATTTTTGAGAGGGCATCTCTCATATTTACTGATCAAATGGTTGTTAACAACAATAAAATTCTGTACAGGGGAGTCAATGCTCAATGCATAATCATTAATCCACCCCCAGCCTAATTCTCGTCAGTCTCCAATCTTCTGAAGCATAACGAACAAGTTCTTACATGGTGAACAAATTCTTACATAGTGAATAAGTTCTTACATGGTGAACAGTACAAGGACAGTCATCACAGAAACTTTCGGTTTTGATCACTCATTATGAACTATAAACAATCAGGTCAAATATGAATATTCGTTTGATTTTTATACTTGATTTATATGTGAATCCCACATTTCTCCCTTTATTATTATTATAATAATATTTTTTAATAAAATGCTGAAGTGGTAGGTAGATGCAAGATAAAGGTAGAAAACATAGTTTAGTGTGTAAGAGAGCAAATGTAGACATGCACATATTTTTAAGTTGTTGACAGAAGTACTGAGTTAAGAAAAAAGTTGGGGACGGATGCAAAGATGGCTTTGGTTGTAGCTCTAAGCCCCAGGAAATTATTAGCCATCATTTATTATTTTGAACTGGTTGCTTCTCTTCTGTTAAGATGAAACTGGCCAAGGTTGAGGAGCACAGGTTCCAAGATGAGCTCACACACACCAGCTCTCCCTCCCCTTACTCTGGTCTGGCTTCATGTACTCTGACACAGCAAGAAACGTGACATGATCTGTTCATTCTTCTCTCCAAATTTCAAAGAAGAATTTTGTTAATGTCCAAGGCACCCTTGTACATTTTGGTGGGGTCATCTGTAGAGTACTTTCTGGCAAGCCATACTGATTGGGCCCCAACTCTGCCCTTGACTGCTTTGCCTCTCCTCAGGAAACAGGCTGACCCCACGTGCTTCAGGAAACACGGGACACACAATGGTTATGCAGGGGAAATAATCTTATGACAAGTCACTTTCAGTAAGAAAGACCAGTATTTTCCTGTCATCAAGAAGTCTGAAAAATGTAAATCTATGTCAACTCAGTAGGGTGATTCACAGCAAAAAGTAGATAACTAGCCAGAAATAGTTTGTTACTGTTATTTTAACTTTTTAAAACAGAAAAGATAATTTAACACCTTTCTTCTTGTCCTACCCAAATAATGAAATACAGAACGAATGCTTCAGAGAGTAACTCTGAGTTCTTAATGAAACATCAACAAGTTATGGATAAACATTTTAATTGATTAAATATATTATTTTCAAGACCTTTTTGGAATCATACTTGTACTGTACTAATCAACAGCCAAAGGCAATAAAAAAGTTTAAAACCAAAAAAGGGTCTGACATGAACACGTGACAGGAACCTAAAGTAACATACACGCTCCCAAGAACAGTATTTTTAGAAGATAATTCATCTTAACATGTGCAAGGACAAATCTGTAATCAAAGGTTGGAAGAAATATATATTAGTGCCTGCTTTTAAAAGTTTATTTTACATTTTAAATACAGTATTTTCTCATTAAAAAAAAAAAGCTAGGAAGTGCCTAACCCTGTGGTTTCTTTACCATATATACATGAGAAATGATGGACAGCCTGGCGAGTGTTTCCGGTTTAACAGTGTGGATAGCTACCAGCTGCAACTTCTGAATCCAGAGTAAGAAACACAAGGTAAGCACTGCTTAGGAGAAAATAACCCAGTTTCTGAGCAACCAAGAGAGAACAGTTAGGTATGTACAAAACCAGGTATTAAAAAACAGAAATGCAGCACACGAAAAACAAACAACTCCTTACATCAGTGAACTTCTACAGAATACACGCAGCTAATCAACGGAAACCCTTCTATGGGAAAGTGATTTATGATTTGAAATTTTTAAAATCGAAGTATTTCAGTAACAACATGTAACAACAACGTTATGTGTATGTTGCCATTTTTATCACTTTTTATCTATACCACCCTCCCTTTTGGAAACAAGAATCTCTAGATTAGTCAATCACTTATACACATTTGAGACCATTAATCCATATTTGTTTTCAGTACAGAAAACAAAGATGTACCTCTTCCCACCAAGAAAGACATAATACAGATTAAAGCTATAAAAAACTTAAGCACAAGCATATACATTTCCAGTTCTCTCTAGTAAGTAATTCCAAGTGGGATCATGTAGGGGTTGTGCCTAAGTAATAACAAATTAAAAGAAAATGGAACATCTCTGGCAGTGACTTCCACTTAGCGCAATGTCATTCCTCATACACAGAATTATGTTTAAATGATTTTGTGTTTTAATTCAGTAGGTGCCAATCTGAGTTTACAAAACTCTAACTATGCTCTATAAAGCCAAATTAGACAAAATGAACTATTTTTGTTTTGTTACTGGTAGTACGAACAGCAGATGAGGAGGAAAGGCCTGAGGGTTTGTGGAGGCTGCCATGATGATGTCTGGGGTGCTCCACGTGTCTAGGGTGCTCCATGTGTCCTGACACTTCAATTATTAGTCAGCTTTGAACATTCTTTAGATTATATAAGAAAATAATTCTCTGTAATGTAACTCTAAACTTAAACAGCTGCTCTGAAGCAAAATCAACCTGGGTCATTCACAAGATCAAACTGAGGCAATTTCTTTTTTTATTATAATCTGTGAGGTCGTAAGTGTTTTGAGATAGTGACCTTCATCAAAATCAGCTGTACCTCATGGAGACTACTAATATAAGGATTTCAAATCAGAGGATCCTGTAAGTATGGGCTCTCATAAAACATATGGACAGGCAGCGGCCAATCACCCATCAGCCGAGTGGGGTCAACTCTGGGACGTCTTGTTGGAGACTTTAAAGATTTAGCATGAGGCTCATATGCCTTCATCCACTAATGACTGCTGTCAGCACCCAGAGCTGGGTGAGTCTGAAGAATCCCTTTATCCCCAAATAAATGCTTCAGTCTCAAGGAAATCCTGCTTCCCAACAGGAGTTCACAAACCACCAGACCAAAAGCAAGAGGGCAAACACTGACTGCAATGCTCACAAAGTCAAAAGAAATTTCCAAGTAAAATGCCATCTTCTGCCCAACCCTAGACTCCAGACTCCGTAACATCTTTATCTAGTGTAATAGACTCTGTAGTAGACTGACTTTGACCTCCACAAGGAGTAGGAGTTGTCAAACTTGAGGAGATAGACTCCTCTCCCTGGGTACTGGTGGCTGCCGGCATACACTTCCTCATGACAGTCCCGCCGGTACACAGGCACGATCTCGTCCAACAGGGGCTTGTTGGCGTTCTTTTTGGCTTTCTCTTCACAACTGATATTTTCTATGAGAGAAAATAGAGACAAGTCAGTGGACAGATCCAGAAAAACTACATTTGCACCAATCCCTGAAACTCTACCCTTTGAGAAAAGGCTGACTAGGAATTCTCTTGATCCATTCTACACTTTATGTGCACGGCCATGAATGGGTTCCTTCTTTCATGTATTTGAGCCATGGCTGTGTACCAAGCCCTGCCTGGGCCCTGGGAACTGTGGTGAATTCTGGTAGGCAGCATGCCCTTCTGCCTTGACTACTGCTCCTGTTCTGAGCCCCACCTCCCTTTCCACATCTTTTCAACCCCCAATTCCTCCCGATATTGGGATCTCACTCACATGAGTAAGACCAAGGAAAAATGTTGCTCTGATCCACCTTCTTCTAAATGTGAGTCCTCCTTATTTTAGGACCAGTGACGGAGCATATGAGGACTACTATTTTCTATGTATCTTAAATATGAAGAGTGAAATGAGAAAACCACAGTAGAGAGGTAGGCATTGGGAGGCATTCTAACAATTCAACTATTTTCATTAGGCCATGTAACCCAGGGATGATCCGGGTGGCAAAAGTGAGTTGATTCTGGGTTTGCCCCTGTTAATTGTTTTAAACTGTAATGGTATGAGGTTAGGAAAAAAAATTCCTCTAGAAACCCGGAGTAAGAAAACTGTGAACCAGCCTAGAAGCCTCAGCTTAACATATTAAATATGAACAGCCTCAGGGAAAATTGGTCAGGTGGATATATTCAGCCCAGAAGATAGGAGACTTTCAGGTTTATAACATAGCAGAGTGAATTCTGTTGACATGAGTTAACTGTGTGATGCTTGTCAATGGTCACCAAGAAGAATTTAAACAAGGTAAGTCTGAGAAACTCACTGTCTAGGAGCTTAAGGAGATGTGACATCCTGGATGGGATCCTGGATCACTAGGTAAACACTAAGGAAATCTGAATAAATAGGGACTTTAGTTAATAACAAGTATCAATATTGGTTCAGGAGTTACAATGACCGTACTATAAGATGTCAACAATAGGGGACCTTGGATGGCTGTGTGGGGTACTCTTTGTACTATCTTTGTAACTTTTCTATAAATCTAACATATCCTAAAATAAAAAAATTATTAAAAAGAAAAAAAAGGAAATGACACTTATAAAGAGGCCCAAGTCAGATATGCTTTATCATAGCTATATATTAAATTAAATGCCCTTTGTTTGCAAATGAGAAATACAGAGCCAATCAAAATGTACACTATTGCCTATAAGGATATCCATCAAAGAGATTACTGGTTCATTAAGTCATGACCCAAATTTTGTTCAAAACCTGTAAAAGTAAAGGTTACTGAGAGAGATGAACAATGCATCTTTCATCAATATAAGCAAAGAGTTGGGACCTGGAAACAATAAAATAGAGAATTAACAGCAGATGAATGAGTTATCATCCATGCTTCTTCAGAGAAAATAAACTATCTTCCTAAGACCTAATGGAGAAAAACCAAAGCACCAAACAAAAAAAACTGGACTCCTCTTCCATCTCAAACTGAGCTAAAAGGACCCCTCCATAAAATTCACAGTGTGGAAAAGACATGGGAGGTTTCTTAGGGAGATGGCACAGGAGCCTCCCTACGGGGGAGTATGGCATATGGACAAATGTAGTTTGTGCACCGGTACATCTTCAAACAGAAGAAAGCTGTGCTCACTAAAAGCAAACAATTCTTGGGAGCAATAGCTCCCCCCTGTTGAACTGTTAACAGATTTTAATGGAGCGGTTTGAGCTGTGACTCATCTGGTTAGGAAGGGCACGAGGACAGGTAATGAATGCCATTTCTACTGAAAGAGTGCTATATAAGAGCAAAGGTCAAGGGTGATGGTTCTCACCTCTAGACAGGCACTGGATCCCAGTCATTTAATACCTGTGCTCCTCTTAGCATCAATAACCCAAAATGATAACCAGCGGAGGGCTCAGATAGGAAATAACCTCCTTGGAGAAGCTTGCCAGAAGACAAGCCAGGAGAAACATGTCACCTCAACCTACTTCTGAACAGAGAATTGGCCTGTGTATTCACAAACTCGTCACAGATTAAGTACCATAATCTGCATACACATACACACACACACACACGTGCACATGCACGTCTGGTTGTGATGAGGCCCTGGATCCATCAGAGAGGCTGATGCAAGGCCAACTTTGAGGGCATCAGCCCATGGCAGAGGCACCTGCCCTGCACCATGCTTGTGTGACTTTAGCCTCTTGGTTTTTCACTCTTGTATCTTGTCTTTCTGGTTTACTTGGTAATATTTATGGGCAACACTTTACCTTGTTAGATGTACTCAGAAATAAACTTGCTGAAAACAAAATACCATGTAAGACAGAGCAGCTTCGAAGTGAAACTGGCCTGTGTGTTCTCATGCATGACCCGGGGCGCAGAGCATGGCATGGTGCAGTAATTAACCTGATTGACTCCATTTAATAGGTTCCCTGCACATACTTCCAACAACTTCTTTACAGTTATCCTAGTGTCATATCCTAGTGAAACCATGTGACGAATCACCAACGCCCTTTGAGAATAAGCAGTCTGGTTACCAGTCACCTGAAAGGTGACTTGGAGAAGTACTTCCCAGTTCTTGGAACTATTCTCAGTCAGTGGCACTCTTCCAAATCATTCTCAATCAAGGCAATAAATAGTTAAGTGCTACAGTGTGTAGAACACCTTTAGTTTTAAACTTCCTGGATAACAAAATTAAGGAGACCATCTTCTCAATTAACAAGCAATGCATTTTATAACCTACTTCTTAGACCAAGACAATTTAGGTTGTCCTTGGAAACACAATTTTGTCTACTTAGAGAAAATAAGAAATTAAATGCCAGTAAAGTAGGGGAAGAATGATGACAACATTTTTAGGGAGGATGTTCTAATGAGTTTCTGTATTTACACTTAAAAAATCTTAGAATAACTACCTAAAAGCTAGTATCAGAAACATGTTTAAATAAATCTGAGTTGGCCGAATGCCTTGCATGCTCCTTAGAAATTTTTCAAAATGACCTTGCACATTGGCTTTTCAACACATGACCTTCCCAGCATTCAAAAGCGAACTGTGCTCAGCATTCAGTCCCTACAGGAGGGCTGGCTTCTCACAGTCTCCTCAGCCCAGGGCCCCAGTAGTGAAGAGATGGGTCCCTGACCAGCTGGCAATTGTTAATCAGGAAGCACAGGTTGGCTGACATCTGAACTGCTGCCATTTTTGCCAACATACAACCTAGTAACTACTAAATATGACCAATGGCTGTACCTTCCTCCTCCTCATCGTCATCACTGGATTCACTGACATGCACGCTGACAGCAGTGTTTGGAGAGTCTGTCCATTCAAAATACACCCCAAACCCAATGTCATAATTGTCTGTAGCAAATTCCCAAAAGAGATATGATCCTTCTTCATGCGTGGGTACTCGGACAGTGACCACTTCTCCTCGGCCCACTGTAATCACAGAATCTGCATCCTGCCGAATCTTCTCTTTAAAGTCTTTGATCTGGGGTCGTGTCCACATGGATGGAGCTGCTATTACTGGAAGAGATTCTAAAGGCAACAGGAATTACAAGAGCTAAAGACAATGAGCCTTCACCTACTACAGGCAGCAACATGTGCAGAGAACCACCCAGGCCAGTGGCACTTAGGTGGAGGGTGTGGGTTACAGGGGACTAGATAAAAAGCGGTGAAATCTTATTACTGAGCACTATCTACGTGTACTGGGTGTACAGTTAGTCACAGAGCCTTTGAAAAAAGACTCATTTGAAAATACAGGTAACCTCTTAATAGGAGAAAAGGGGAAGGGGGAACCAAGGTCTTTCCTGAAGCTATTTTGTGTTACTTGTTCTAAAAAGCTAAGGACGATCACTGAAACCAACTTTGTGATGGACCACACCACTGTCCCTGATCACTGTCACCAAAATGCTCCTCTCTTCTCAGTTAAGTCCTACTCTTCCTTCAGCTCTCTCAGCTCAGTTGTCCCTTCCCCAGGAAAGCCTCTGCTGACCTCTCTGACTAGGTCATATACCCCAGATTGCTCCCAAACAATAATGTACCTCTCTCCCCACCGGAGTATCTACGCCAGTGACAATTTACATTTTATGGGGTTATTCTGCCTCACCACCATACCTCTAGCACCCAGAGTATCTTCAACCAACTGTTGGTTGAAGGAATGAGCTGCCTGAGCTGCCCATGAAAAGCTGGTATACCTTTGAAGATGCTAAGTTACCTGCTGGGTAACATGGTACCTCAGTTTCAAAAAATGCACTGTAATATGTGGTATGCAGCCTCCAAATCAGCCCCAGTGATCCTTGCCTCTGGGGATCACCACCCACAGCATATCAGGGCTGGTATGTGTGACCAACAGGATACAACAGAAGTGCTCACGTACTAGAGCATAAAAGACACTGCCACTCTGCCTCGTTCTCTTTTGGATCACATGCTCTGGAGGAAGCCAGCTACTGTGCTGAGGACACTCAAGCAGCCCTACAGAGAGGCTTCACAACACAAGGAACTGAGGCCATCTACCAACAGCCAGCACCAACTTGCCAGCCACATGAGGGAACCCCACCCTTGGGAAACAGAGCCTCTAAACAAGACTACAGTCCCAGCCAACATCTTGACTACAATCTCATTAGAGGTAATAACCACCACAACTCAGACAAGCTACTTCTGAATTCCTGAACCACAGAAACTGTGAAAGATAATAAATGTTTGTTATTTTAAGCTGGTAATTTGAGTACAATTTGTTATGCAGCAACATACAGCTAACATATATAAAATGAGCCCAACTTCTACACCACTGTGAGGCTCACCAGAACCATCACATTCAGACTGAAAAAGCATTTGACTCTGTCACAAATACCTAACTGCTCTCAGAAGCTAGTTAACCTGACTTTCTGATTTGCTTTTCATGAAATCAGGATGGATGAACACACGTGCCAGCCATTGCCAGCCATACCTTTTGGTCCATTCTCTAGGGCCTCTTCTGCAGCCTCTGGTTCAAGTTCTTTTTCAGAGCTGTCAGTGTGGGTTTTGGCCTGTCCATTAACTGACAGCACATCGAAAGTTACCTGCTGGGTAACATGGTACCTCAGTTTCAAAAAATGCACTGTAATATGTGGTATGCAGCCTCCAAATCAGCCCCAGTGATCCTTGCCTCTGGGGATCACCACCCACAGCATATCAGGGCTGGTATGTGTGACCAACAGGATACAACAGAAGTGCTCACGTACTAGAGCATAAAAGACACTGCCACTCTGCCTCGTTCTCTTTTGGATCACATGCTCTGGAGGAAGCCAGCTACTGTGCTGAGGACACTCAAGCAGCCCTACAGAGAGGCTTCACAACACAAGGAACTGAGGCCATCTACCAACAGCCAGCACCAACTTGCCAGCCACATGAGGGAACCCCACCCTTGGGAAACAGAGCCTCTAAACAAGACTACAGTCCCAGCCAACATCTTGACTACAATCTCATTAGAGGTAATAACCACCACAACTCAGACAAGCTACTTCTGAATTCCTGAACCACAGAAACTGTGAAAGATAATAAATGTTTGTTATTTTAAGCTGGTAATTTGAGTACAATTTGTTATGCAGCAACATACAGCTAACATATATAAAATGAGCCCAACTTCTACACCACTGTGAGGCTCACCAGAACCATCACATTCAGACTGAAAAAGCATTTGACTCTGTCACAAATACCTAACTGCTCTCAGAAGCTAGTTAACCTGACTTTCTGATTTGCTTTTCATGAAATCAGGATGGATGAACACACGTGCCAGCCATTGCCAGCCATACCTTTTGGTCCATTCTCTAGGGCCTCTTCTGCAGCCTCTGGTTCAAGTTCTTTTTCAGAGCTGTCAGTGTGGGTTTTGGCCTGTCCATTAACTGACAGCACATCGCTTGGTGCAGCTACATTCGCTTTTGATGATGTAGGCACAGAAGCCCCAGTGACTGCTACTTCCTGTTGTTTCTGTAATGCTGCCTACAAATCAAGAAAAAGTGGGGATTCACTGATCAGGAAGACTAGCCAATGGGACATTTGCACTGGAATGCACCCTGACTGCATGGGTTTTCCCTACCAAAGCACTCTGCTCCAAGATTACTAATAAACATTATTAGTTTTTATCTTATCAATGATAAACATTAGTAGTGTAGTATCAAACTGACAACTACAAATGACAAAAAATTAACATGGATAAAAAACCAAAGTTAACATGGACAAAGAAATAAAAATAAAACCCTTGTAACTGAGGATCAAATTTTTTGTGACCTGAGGATTACCTTAAAAAGTAACCAGGAAAAATTAATGTATGTAGAAATAATCAACCCACAATAAAATTACTAAGGGCAAAAACAGAACACAGTAACACTTGTCCTTAAAACTGATAGAGGAAAATCTTGATAAAATTCAGATAAATCAAATTTGAATCAAGAAAATTAAATTTGGTAGAAATAAATTGTCACAGAAGCAAATTCACAAAAATAGAAGCTAGTTGGTAAATCTGATATGTGATCCCCAGGGTGACCAATAAAATTAAATACAGACAAGTATTCTGATGAGAAAAACAATTAATAAATTAAACCTTCACTGTAAATTATATACAAAAAATTCTTATTGCAATTAATTGAAAATTGTTAATCATGTTGTACAAAACACTGACCTAAGAGTTAAACAGGCTTCTAAAATTGAGTGTGAGCTCCAAATAGTGCCTTAATGAGAATTCATCACTGTTTACATTATTATGGTCAAAATATGTGTTAAAATATTCATAAACATGAAACCAAAATGTCCTCTGAGTCAAAATGACAACTACTCTGATTTATAATGCTATAGATGTGCTTTGAGTGGTTTTAAACTTTATATAAATGGAATTTTGGATCTTTTTGTGTCTGGCTTCATCTATATATAGGGTCACATGTAATTACTTCTTGTTTGCATTACTATAGGACATTCATTCCATTGTGAAAATACAAAATTTTTCTTTATCCAATCTACTGTTGATGAGCATTTGGGCATTTAACTTTTTAGATTAAAACAGTAAGTCGTAAGAGAGCATAAGTTTACAAAATAGAAGAAAGAAGGAAGGGAAGAAGGAAAAGAAAATATAGGAAGGAAGCCTTCGTGATCTCATGGCTTAGGGTAATGATATGTTTAGACACATTCATACTCCTATTTCCTTCACAAACCAATTACTTAGATGAACAGTAATGTCTCTCTGCTTCCAGTGCAGGCTGCTAGCACACTTGACATTTTAAAATACCTTCTTCCAAGGCCTAGATACTCAGTAATTTACACATTAATTTTTTAGAAAGAGTATTAGCTTCCAGAAAAAGTACATACAACCAAAACATTTCAGCACACTCAACACTCCCTGCCTGACAGGAAAGCAAAAAAAAAAACAAAGAAGCATTTCTGTTGATGAGCAGGCCCAGCACAGATGGCCCTCACCAGCTGGCCTTCCTTCAAACTCTCTAAAATGTACAGCTCCCTCCCTCTAGACCCCCTGCCCCTGCCATGAATATACACCAAACTATGATTACTTATACGCACATCTTCTCTTATATGCGAAGTTTTTTTAAAGCACAGAAAGATAAACCTTGAACAATGTAACACCCACATAACTGCACCTCCATGTTAACAAGTGTCATCATTTGGTTGTTTTGCTCAGTATTTATACAGAAATTAATATTTTATGGGCTGAAGTTCCCTTTGTTTCTTCCCAGTCCCTTTCCTTCTCTATTCCCAGAGACATTCAACTTAATAAACCAGGTTTGATAACTGTAACCTAAATTATGGATTATAGTTCTTTCTAGTTCTGTTTCAAAGATTCTTGGTTTTGCCTTGACTGGACTATTTCCATTCAGTGATAGCAATGAATGAACAGTATAGCATGTATAAGCTATTGCCATTGAAAAATTATCTTAGTGCCATCAAAGAATCAGGAAAAGGGGAGCGATATGCTAAGCAGAAATAGTCTTTAGAGGGCAGAAAAGAAATCCCTCAAGAACACCACTGACTGTCCTGAGCAGACTCCAGCCGAGCAGCCATTACCACTGCATGAAACCTGCAGGGCTTACAGCTCCAAAGTGCTAAAGCCTCAGGGAAAGACGTTTTAGGGACTGTATTAATTCTCAAAGAATTTAAAGAGCTTGGCAAAACAACAAAGATTATTTCATCTAACAAGAAAGCTGAGCAAGTATAATGCAACACTTTTCTTTACTCAGATTTTCTGACAAACAGTAACTGCTTTATAAGTGAATATAAATAAGAAAAACTTGGCCAAGTTAAATCTCAGAAGGCATTTAATGCCTCCACCAAATGTGAAAAATGCATGTAAAAAAGGTTATCTTCCATGTGTATAAAACATTTTTACAGAGCAACTACTGTCTCATTTTATTCCTCTGTAGTTCTCTGAGATTAACAGGATAGGTACCAGTATTTTACACAATGTTCTTGCTGAATAGGAGAAAAGGCATACAAATCAGTATGGTAGGTAACTTGTCTGAGATCAAATAAGACAATGGCAAAGCCAGGACAGAATCCCGGCATTACACCCTGCCCCAATACCAGTCCTGGGTTTGTTCCTTGAAGCCACTCCTTCCTATGTGGGTAGAGGTGGGGAGTCAGAGGAGGGCTACAACCCCACTGCGGGCAAGCGCCCTCCAACTCCTCACCCTAATGCATGTCAGACACCCCAGTCCCATTACTCAAGTTCTCATGGTTCTAGGACCACTAGTAGGCTCTGTACCAGACTCACTGGGATGATACCTGGCCCATACAACATCCAGATACCCTCATGACAATGCAATAGTGGCCACGTCGTTTGTTGCTTTGATGGTATCATTTTGTTTCCTAACTGCAAGTGCAACACAGAAGTCTCACTTAATAAAGGTCACCTGAACGTTATTTTCCACCTCAGAAGCTACCTAATGCAAACTTCATCGAGCCTGCACCCTGTGGGAAGAAAGCCATCCCAGGCCAGGCTCTGGGCTGTCTGCCGTACCTGCTGTTGTGCGAGCTGGACCTGGTACAGCTGCTGCATGTACTGCTGGTAGTGCTGCTCCTGTAACTGGCGGATGAGGACCTGCTGCTGCTCGCAGTTCCCTGGGTACTGCTGGGCTGCGTACTGCTGGAACTGCACGGCAGTCTGGGAGTTTAACGCTGCCATTATCTGCTGCCTAAAACGTTAAAACATATACTAGTCTGACTCCAGGAGGCTGTTCATGACAAAATAAAATGTTCTTATTTATTTTTATAATGTCTAAGCTTTAAGAGCTACTGAACTAGTAATGTATACCAATCAGCATGTGTCCCAGGCCCAGAAAAACATTTGAGAAAATAAACTTGGCCTGTAATTTTTTAACTTCAATCTTTCAAGGAAAGCTTGGGATGGAGAGGGAGAACAGTAGTACATCTCACATCATAATCACAGGCATTTGCTGTGCCCTTGCTATGTGCTGGGTAGTGTTCAAAGCACAGTCTTCATTCCCACTTCATTCTCACAACCCAGTTTCACAAAGGAGGAAATGAAGATGTTTGGTGACTTGCCCGAGGTTACATGCAGTAGATGCCAAGGCCAGGATTCGAGTCTAGGCAGTCTGGTTCCAGTCCATCCTCTCTAGCATGATGCTGCAAGAGGCTGGACTCTCATCTGTGCCAGGGGTGAGATTACTTAACTATTGGCCGTGGCCTCTCTGCCTGAATGCATGAAAAGCAGGGAGAGGCAGAAGAACAGTGAGATGTTACAAGTGGCCTTAGCAAGTATAATAGGGCCAATGCAAATTTGAGGGCCTTTAGCAGTTAATTTAAGCCTGCTCTTAAAGAAAAACACTGAAAATAATACCTGGGCACACTTGCTTCAGAGACACTACCTTCTGTTATCTACTATAATTCTCATATTTTCTTTCACAGAGACACCACATGCTTAACTCAGTTTCATGACCCGCTTAACAAAAACCTCAAAATCATCTATTAATACATAAATAAACACATAAAAAGAAACATAGCAAAATCTTACAAACTTCAAATAGAACGTGACACTGGGTCCCCCTAGGGCACCCCCTCCCCTACAAATGAGTGGTATTCATAGTCTCTGGATGTTCAGAGTACAGAGATGTGGATTGGCTTGAGATTAGCAACAAAGCTTTTCTGAGCAACTACTCAGAAATAAGGAGGAATCAATGGACTCTCATGTTCTCTGGTTTAATCTAGACACCATGCTATCTCTGGAATCTAAGGTTTTATGGGTGTTGATCCCTTCCTCCCCATGCCCACAGATCCCTCGTGAAGAACCAGTCCCTTCTGAGAGCTGCTCTCACAGACCTTGCTGACTAAGACATGGTGTCTGTTTCGATCCCTGTGGTGGAGACAGACACCTGACATTGGCTGGACCAGCTGGATTCTGTCCTGGGGATCTGTAACTGGGTCTCTCAAATTTCAGCCAGTCTCTGTCAAATGCACAAAAACATAGACCACATAAATCCAGCCTAGGATAGCCTGTGAATGCCAAACAGAGTAACGATTTGCAGAGCATAGGAAGAATGTAACAGACACAAGCTGTGAGAAGTAAAGACAAGGGATCCTGTGGCCCCAGAGACAGAGAGCAAGTGTGCACCCTCAGCTCCTGATCTAGAGCCTAGGCTCTGAGAGCTAATCCAAAATTCTTCTGATACCTTCCTCTTTTTGCAACCAACTGAAGCTTAACCCAAGGCTGTCCCGGGGCGCAGATCATTTGGTACAAGGGTAAGTAGCTTGCGCTGGTCTACCTCCCTCCCAGTCACAAAAACCAAAATTATTGTGAGCACAGGGATCAAGCAACAGCAGGGTGGCAGTCTACTTCTCAGAAGTCATGCAATAGCTTACTTTTGCTGCTCCAACCGGAGCCTCTCCTCTTCTATCCGCTGCCTCTCTCCTTCCTCCCGCCTAAGCCTCTCCCCCTCTTCTCTCCTCCGTCTCTCTTCCTCCTTTTGCAGCTGTTCTCTTTCTTTCTCTTCACGCTGCCTTCGTTCCTCCTCCTCCTTCCTGCAGGGAAAGGAGAGAATGAGCCCTTTACAAAGAATCCTGTTTGAAAAATATAACTTTACTTACCAATGAAAACTAATATGACCCTTTCAGAGAACAATGGGGTGAATACAAACATTTGGAATGGATATACTCCACTGGAAGACACCTATCATATGGAGTCAGTCTCGCACTACACAAGATTACAGCAATGAATACCTACTGCTGCATAGCAACAGAACAAGAGGTTCACCAACTAAGATAGTACTTAAATCATTAAGGAAGACCCTCACCTGCAGACACCCCCAATATATGCTCACTGCACCGCTTTTCCTTCACATCATTTACTGCAGTACAATTAGATCTGTGTGATAAATTCAGCAATACATTTGAGCCTCACCCATTAAAGTACATATTCCTTAAGGGCAGAGACTGCCTAGCTCACACCACTGCACCCTTGGGGCTTAGCATAGTGCTGGAAAGAACAGTCAACAAGTGTCTACAGAAATGAAAGTCCACTCTGAAATGTTGTGCTGCCATAAATAAAGAACTCAACCATGTGGCCTCATAAATAAAGACATTTAATATTTGTTTAATGAAAAGAACAGGTGAATACATAGAAAAGGTCTGGAAAGACACACCTCAAGTGTCTCAGTTATTATCCATGGAGTTAAAGGGAGATGGGAGGGAAGGTTTTCAGTCTGTGTGTGTATGTCACCATAAAAAGAAAATATTTACATTGCATACATTTGTGTACGATTTCTGAAACTAAACAAATTTTAAAGCTTTTAATTTAAAAAAGGAAAGAACAGCTGGACAACCAGGTGCAGCCCCACCCAACAACCACGCCTAGACCCCTTCCCCGAGGAGAAAGGGAACTGCTATGCTTGGAACAGACACCTCACGGGGCACGAGTGGCTCGGAGCACAGGGTGGCTGAAGACGGATGAAGGGAAGTCTGAGGATACTCCCAGAAGAACCACTTCTTGGTCCTACCACGAATACTGGCTGGGTCACCCGAGTTTACTCCCCAAATCCTGTAAGTGATTAACACACAGCTCAGCCACAGCCATATTTCAAATATGGTAATAATATGCCCACTTTCAACACTTCCCACTGGGAGAGGGCAAGATGCTCCACAAGCCAGAGCTTAAACTTCAGGAATGAGGATGCCCAGTCTTAAATTCTTTAGAAGAACTCTATGTGAACTTCATCTAATGAGAGAAGTATAGTTTTTAAAGGAAAAATACAGTTGTATGTGTCAAGATGAGCAGTAATTTAAATATTCAATTTATCATTAAAAAAGACCTTAAAAGAAAAGCAATAAATACATGCTTCCAAAGGCAATATAGCTATACCTCATTGATCCAACATCACCACACAATGGACTATGGCACAGTAAAGGAGGAACTACATTTCCATTCTTGTAAAAATAAAAATTTTTCCTTTAGAAAATAACCTTCCTTTGGTTAAGTATCTTCTAAAAATCTATCAAGCTATTTCCTATCCTTCTGAACAGGAGTAAATATTATCTAGTGTACTGTCTGTTGATGACTCAGGAGCTTTAACTACATAGCAATTGTATGTCATAATACTGTGGGGGTGAAGTTTGTATTAAGTGACCCCTGATGCCACACTTCGGTAATTCTCGTGTCTTATTTTTCATGGTTGCAATCTTCTACCTAATAGGTTGTTTTCTCTTTTAATCTGTTATTTCAATCCCAGTTAAGGTGTGAAATCAGAAACAAGTGTTTCAAAAGTAAATATAATATAATCTGAGAAAAAAATTAATATGAAAAAATTATAGCATCATTTTCATTACCTAGAAATATTAGATAAAGTTATTGGAAACATAACCCCTACATAAATAAGGTGTTAACTATAATTCTACTGAATTCACAATCATGACATAGAATCCATAAACATAAACAGTGCATTGAGCAGCTCACCTCCCGACCCCTGGAAATAACAAGCCATTTGGGAACCAGGGCCAATATGAATGTCTATTCAAAGTCTACCATGCAGCCCAGCTGATTATGATGCTATGGAGTATGAATATTCTAGAAGCAAAGGGTATGTCAGATGAGAGGGTAAGGGGGAGTTTATGGCCGAGTTTATGGTCGAGCTTGCTCACAAACTTAGTGTCATTAGGGCAAAAGGAATGCTGCCAGGATGGACAGGTGGTTTCAGAGCCAGACAGAAGCAGCAGCCCTTTGCCCTAAATCTCCTTACATAAATACCTGCTCACTTCAGGAAGTCTGAGCAACTGCCATAAGTGGGATACAAGGGAAGTAAGACACCTGATCTAAAGCAGACACTCCATAAAGCAAAAGCACCAGTACTGGGGCTACTCAAGGATACAGTATTCTGTGCCCTCAAACCTCACCTTTTCTTTTCTTGCTCTTCCTTCTCTATTTTGTGGGATGTAACATATGTTGAAAAGAGATGGCAACACCTATTTAGAAGCTTGACAAACTCCACCATGGCATCCTCTTTAGACATGGTTCCCAGAGCTGCCCATTCTCTCCTGTAAGGAACAACAAGAAAAATCACCTCTTCTTCCTAACAGATGAGAATTTGATTTAATTTAAACCTAAATATGAATACTTCTCAATTACAAAATAAAGAACGATTTTACCATAAACAAAAGGCTCAAAACTTCATGTTTCAAGCATGCAGTGATTTACTAAATTAGATGTGCGTATACAATCCAAACTTACTGCCATAAACAACAATTTGTGTACAGTCTGTGTAGTTTACATATGATCTCCCGAGAATTTCCATACCTTTTGAATGGCAAAAGGGTATCAACATTTTATTTTCCTTTTCTATCATATTTTAGCCTTAACTGAATCAAATGCTCAGAGTATTTGTTTTTGTCACAACTCTCTGTATGTCTCAATAAGGGAATCAATTACTATGTATTTCAAATGGCTGCTTTTAATATTTAGGAAGAATCAAATGAAGCTGTACTTGTCTTATGTTCATAATCAGATGAGTAAACTTCTTCAATAATATTTAACCATAAACATCTCCAAGCCAAAAACAGGTAAACATCTGAAGACTCCGTAAGTTGTAAGTAAAAATGCTTGTTTTAGTTCTTATTCTAAGCTAATGAACCAGCTGTTTACATCTCAACCAATTCACTTTGCACCCTTTCCAACATTACTCTCGTTAAATTCATACACAGGAGGCGGAGCCAATATGGCGGTGTGAGTAGGACAGTGGGAATCTCCTCCCAAAAACATATATATTTTTGAAAATATAACAAATACAACTAATGCTAAAAGAGAGACCAGAAGACACAGGACAACAGCCAGACTACATCCACACGCGCAAGAACCCAGCGCATGGTGAAAGGGGTAAGATACAACACCTGGCCCAGTGGGACGCAAGCACACCTCCCCCCAGCTCCCGGCAGGAGGAGAGGAGTCAGAGCTGAGAGGGAGAGGGAGCCCAGGAATGCTCAACACCCAGCCCCAGCCATCCGCACCAGAGCACAGACACAGTGTATGCATGGGGTCCTGGATACTAGGGAAACAGGACAGTAAGACCTGTGAGCGGGTCCTGAAGCCAGCGCCCCTGTGACAAAGAAAAGCGGGTGCTTTTTGAAAGTCTTAAAGGGATCGGGACGCCACAGCTGGAAGGAAGCATCCCGGGTCACAGTCCAGCAGCTGGAAATTCCAGGGAACTCTGGATGCACTAACCCCCTGGGCAACAGCTCTGGGACCCTCACAGAGGTAAACAGCCAAACAGCCCCCCGTCCATTACCCCTCCAGGCGCTGCAAAAGCAGAGAGCAGCCTAAGGCAGGCCATGCCCTCAGAAAGGGAGCTTCCTCCATACAGGCAGGGCAAGACACAAAGACCCAGTCTATACGCAATTACCCAACACAAGCCACTAGGGGTCACAGTTGTCCCAGTAAAGACAGGCCAGGAGCAAGTGAAAAGTTTGGCTCTACCAGATGACAGTCAATAGCACCTATCAACATGAAAAGGCAAAAAAATATGATCCAGACAAGACTAACCTAGACAGCTTCAGCATCTGCTACATCTTCCCCTGAGAAGGAACCTGGGGAGATAGATTTAAGCAGTCTTCCTGAAAAAGAATTCAAAACAAAAGTCATAACCATGCTGATGGACTTGCAGAGAAATATGCAAGAACTAAGGAGGGAGAATACAGAAATAACAGAAGCTCTGGAAGGACTTCAAAACAGAATGGA